AATTACTTGAAATGTTTTAAACATTAGCTTTTAAAATATGGCCTAATCTTTTACTGAGTTAACACAAAAAACAAACACAATCATTTTTTAACTAATACCACACAATTACGGTATTGAATACTTCATTACATCAAGTGTAGGCTGGATAAACTAAGTACAATTAATGCTAATCACAAAGGCTAAATTAACTCAGTAATTTGCAAACTTGGTGTCCAATCAGTGTAACGAGTCTAGATGTGTGCATTAGAGCTACTTTTTAAGTGATAAGAAACACTCTTTTTAAGTTTGCTATTCACAAGACACCTCATCTGATGTGAACCTGCCTTGAAGTAAAGACCTTGCAGAAGAACTTAGATTAATAATAACTGATTTATATAAAAGTGGGAAGGATTGCAGCGTAATCCCAAAGATCTTCAACAAATGTAGGCGACTCACAATTTGCAATTCTCTGTAGAAGTGGACTCCCAGTAAAAATAACTGCAAGGGCACAAAGAGGAATGCCATATGAGGTAAAAACAACAAAAAAAGAACCCTGGAGTCCCAACCAATGGACCAAAGAGCCAAAATAAACAAGTAACAAATAGAATGGAAATGTCTCCATTGAAATTATACTTGCATTCGACTCTTTTCCTTTTTCTTTTTTTATATAGTTTTGCTTGCAGCCAATTACCAAAATAATAATAATGTATTGCAACTCATTCAGATGGGATTGCCTGCACATGGCTCTCAACATGGAGATGGCTGAGCCTGCCGTTAGCAGCTAATGGTGTTAACAGCATGCACAGTGCTAACAAGCACACTGCAGATTAGCTAGCCATCGGACACAAACATAGCCTCCATTCACAAAATAGGTGTCAAATGAAGTAGAAAAAAAGAACCAAATGAAGTAGTCTTTTGTATTGGTATCAATGTAAAGCTACTGTTGTTGGTACAGGTATCTTACCTTTAAAAAAAATAACAACCAGCCATTTGACAACAATGTGGAGGTAGAAATCTGAACACTTAACCAGTGGTCGTGTTAACCGAATATTTTCCGTCTATGAGTTTTTTTTTTAACAATGACGAAAAAACCTGAAAGCAGTCCGTCATTTTGACAGATTAGAACAAACTCAGAACAGCGCCAAAGCTTCCCCGCAGCATGGCTCCGGTGTTATGCATGCCCGCCAAAAAGGAAATTATATCGTTTCCAAATCGTACTTTGCCGTACAAATTATTGAAATGTCTGTGAGTTTTTGCTTTACGCTGTGGCGCGCTCCTGCGAGGGGCAGTGGCTAGGGCGGACTGGCCATCGGGACGTTTGGGACGAATCCCGATGGGCCGGTACTGAAGTGGGCCGATCGGACGATGTGGGCCGGTCGGATAAGTCACTAGCACCCCCCCGTTGACAATTTACTAGCGGTGATTACTTGCGGTACCGAGGTGGGCCGGTCGAGAGTCCCGGGCTGATTTGTAGTCCCAGTGCGCCGCTGGGCAGTGGGCATGCATAACACGGCGCTAACAGTTCACGAGCGTGCGCCCCTCCCTCCCTCCGTTGACAGTTCACAAGCAGTCAGAGTTGTACAGACCGGCGGGTAATTGTGGATTTTGACGGAAATGTTACAATCCTGTCCGTCCAAATTACGGGCAGCGAAAAAGTCTAGCGCAACCTCTGCACTTGGCACTCCCCAACACTGATTGGACTGCTTTGCTACCTCATTTGCTTTGTCGATTCATGGGCAACGATCATTGATCACTTTAGCCAAATAAAAGCCAGACCTCAACGTGATAGAAATGCTGTGGACAGAACTCAAGTGAGCCATTCACAGCTGATATCCATAGAACCTGGAACAGCTTTGCAATGAGATGAGCACTAAAGCTCTGATCCAGAGCTCCTTGAAGAGTTGGATCAAGGTCATTATTACTGAGTGACGTTCAAGTAGAAGTTAGATCCACTGATTTAAGGGAGGGGGTGGGGGCTGGGGTTGGGGTGGGTGGTAGGCATTCAGAGTGCAGGGCTTTGATTCCCACGACTGGACTAGCATACGATTAGGTTTAGATAACAAAAGCTCCTTGTTTAAGGTTTAGTTATGGATTGTGATTACATTTACATGTTATAAAGCAATATAATATCATAAATCAGTCATTTATGATTATATTGCCTTTTCAATATTTATTTCAATTTCCCCAAGACTGAAGTGCTTTGGTGACTACATTTTATTTACTTGAATGTTTGTATTTATTATGATTTGAAGTTGCTTTGAGCAGTGATTGAAGGAAAACTACTTTGATAATACATTACCTGCGGATTTCTATTATAAAGATTTGTGACTGCAAATAAGTTCATTGCTATTATTATTGCAAAATGTGATCGAGGCTGGGGTTGCCGGTACACACACACACACACACACACACACACACACACACACAACACACACACACACACACACACACACACACACACACACACACACACACACACACACACACACACACACACACACACACACAACACACAACACACACACACACAACACACACACACACACACACCACTACCTAAATATATATATTAGGACCCCCTATTTATATAATGATTATGATCACATTCATAAACGTCTATCTCCTTTCCTGTTATCTTATTTGAGGGATTGAATAAGGAAACATTTGTAAATGAGGCTCGCCAACTGACTTATATAAACCCAGAGACCTTTAGAGACTGGTTTGGAATAGAATAATGTTGGATTGTGAAACTACTCCAAATTCGAACCCATGACTAATTAGGACGAGTATTGGAGGATCTTCCCTCTCTCCTCTTTACCTCCCCCTACTTATCCTGCTTCATTTCCATAACCCGTGTCGATGCAGACAAGCGAGCAACTTTCTTGTTGAACTCAGTGTGTATTCATATTCAAACTTACCTACTTAGACAGTCCCCTAACTAACCTCTCTGCACTGGTTCAACTCCACATTTACAGGCCTCCCTCCTTTCACTGGAACAGGCAGAGATCCTCAGCAGGAAATCAGCATTTCTGGTGTGTGAACGGAGCCATTCCACACGCTCAGCTTTCCAATTATAGTACATCCCGCTTAACTGATGCTTATTAATTCCTTCAAACTCATTACGGCAAGCAAAATACGGCTCACCCATGAGATGAATACTAATGAAAGGGAAAACTTCTCGTCGGTGCTGCTGCTTTCTTTTTGTTTAGATGTCTGCTTTAGGCTCCGGCACACAGACAAAATAAATGGCCGTGGAAAAAAGAGCATTTCTTAAGCGTCCACCGGAGAAATCACTGTAAGGGAGCATTGATCAGTATCAGCCTGTCCTGTGGTAATCGCTTGTGACAGGAAGGACCTGCAGTACTTGTGCCATGGTGTGTATGGATTACGTCTAGACTTCAAGAAGGTCCTACAGTGCTTGTAGTTGGAATAAATAAAGCTCTCTGACTGACACTGAGCCAGCACAGGGCCAACCAAAACACAACACTTCAATCTACTGCGTCTCCCCAAGGGTCAGATTGATTGATTCACCGGCCAATCAGAGTACATTGATCTCAGATCCTGACCCCCCCAACCCTCAACTCCCCAGGCCTCCGCTCCGTCCATTCATCTGTTGGCTGTCAGAAGTATTCACTGGGGTGCTGTACTGTAGTTGTGGAGAACCGCACTTTAAAACACACATCTGCAGCTCTCAGAAGAAAACGCTTTGCAGTCCCTCTAACTGTATTGATCCCTCACTGGGTCCGGCTGCTGATGCATCATGGGTCGCTCATATACAGGGATATTCAACGTTTGCATAGTCGCTATGATGTTCACTGCAATATACAGTTTAGCATCAAACGTCATTCAGTCAATTGCTGTCTGATAAAACAAGAAATCTTTTTTTTCAAAAGAGTCATTGAGTCGAACCCTCCCTGTTAGAACTAATACTGTCCTGAACGGTTCGGAACAATAGGAACCCACGCTAACAGACTGAGGAACAGCTTCTCTCCTAGAGCTGTGGTCTCCATCACACCCCTCCCTGCCCAACCACAGAACCCATTAACTGTGAACACACAAACCAAGGTTTATGACACACACCCCCGTCTCAAATGTATCAAACACCTATTTATAAACACCCAAACTAAATATGTAGTGTTGTACCTTTACCTGTACATTTTAGTAAATGTAATCTAAATATAGTGCCTCCTATTTTTTGTATTCTCTTTGCTGCTGTTACTGTTTATATTATTGTTTTTATCAGTGCTTTTATTTATTTGTTTCTAATGGCCTGCAAAATGTAATCCTACACAAGTAAAATGACAGTAAATGTATTTTGATTCAGAGCATCAGGTGTCGTGGTATCATTTCTGTCTTTCAAAGTCCAACCAATCCAGGGTCCGAAGCACCAAACTGGACCTGCATTGGGTGCTTGTCTGTTAGAAACAGTGTTATCGAAATATAATGTATAATACTAGAAATATTGAAAATGGGACAAGGTCTGTGTATCACCACACAACCTGTAAACATAACTCCAGATTGGTTATCCTTTGAAAGATGCACCATTTAGAAAAGTGGTCATAAATGCTCATCAGTGAATCAATAAGAGAGTGTTGCATCTTCCCGCGGGAACATCTTTGAGAGGGAAAGTTTGCAGATAGACTGGGTGTAGATATACCAACACAAACAATCTAACAAGGAAATGTAAACTTCAATAATTATCCTTAGTATTTGTTTTATCAATATAGTGTTTATTCATAGTGTGCTAATACCTGTAGGTAGCAATGTTGTAAACAATGACAAGCACTACTCCCAGTAGTCATTTTGGGGAATCAGGTTTCTTACAAGGACTAGAGCCGGATCGGTGGAGGATTAATATCATTTTCATGAATATGCAGTAAAGAGACTGGTCTGTGTTGCTGTACAGGAAGTACTTGGAGTTATTGGCTTGACTTTTTCCTTTGCGCTATCGACAAACCCCTTTTTATCACACAATGCTACCTTGCTAAGTCACTAACCAGTTGTGTCTCTTTCTTTGACAGGGGGGATATTCGAGTCCATTGAAAGCGGCCCATCCGGTGCTGAGGAACTAGCCTTTAAATTTGCTTTAAACACAATCAACAGGAACAGAACCCTACTGCCAAACACCACGCTCACCTACGACATCCAAAGGATAAACATCTATGACAGCTTCGAAGCCTCCAGGAAAGGTATTTATGTGTTTGTGATTGGAAGATTTGTGTTTGTGTGTGTGTTCCTGTGTGTTCCTGTGTGTTGGTGCGCACATATGCTATGCTAGCTGCTTTGCATTGTAAATGTATTCCCTGTTGCAGACTTGTGAGCTGCTGTGGCTAAGATTTGGACAATTATAATCAGGCGAGGGAGAAATGGCTGAGCACTTCAATGTAAACAGAGAGAATTGATTGGTTCCAAGTAATGACTCAGCGGCAGTAATTCAAAGACCAGTTTGGTCCCCAGAGACAGCCAATAAAGTGCTATAATCTATCAGTTTTGTGTGTGCATCAGTCTGACATTTCAAGTCTCTTATCAATTACGGGCCATTATATCCTGTCTGAGTGATTTATCTGACTGCCTCGTATCAAACAAGGTGATTAAAGTGCACAGTGTAGCAACAAAGATATGCGGTTGTTTTGTATTTCCTCCAAATATAATTTAAAGAAAGCTAATTCAAAGTGGTCACAGCCTTAGCCTCAGTTTCAGCTTTGTGTTGTGGATATATTTACAAAATACATCAACATTAAAAAATGAAATATAGCCCACTACCATCAGTGAGGTTGGACACGTGTTGGACATATGTTTGCACATATTTGTGCAATGTTTTTTAATGTTTCATTTAAAATGTACACTTTTGAGATAGAAATATTTTGTCTCAATGTGGCCTTGAACAGGAATGCGGGTTGTTTTATATTTAACATCGTCAACAAATCTCATGACAAAATCAAATCCATGTATACTTTGTGACGTCTGTGGATCTCAGCCCCAAGGCCACCGGTTTCCACTGAAGATGTAAATCTTTCATTTGGCTCACACATTTAGAGTTCCATTCTTGCCTTGAAACTGTAGTCTTGCAAAAAGAATGATCAAACAAGAGGAAATAAGGCACTTTTGAGGGACTATTTTCATGAGGGAATAATCCATATTTAGTGTAGTCATGACACAGGTAACATTAACATGTGTTGTTGTTAGGTTTCAGTCATTAAATGACACACACTCAATGCATTTACTGACAAAAATAGTCAGGGAGCAGACCTGAACCCTGCTGAGCTGCTTTCTGCTGACGGCTCTCTTGTCCCCTGCAGCTTTGACTTTTTGATGAGTGAGCAGGTCAACCCTCATTTTGTGTCGCGTATATGCACTAAGCTGGGCTGGCTTCTGTTCCTTTAGGATGAGAAATAGACAAAGCAAAAACTGAACCAAAATACTTCAGAAATGAGGGTCATCAATCCATGTCCATCATGATTTGTAGTAGTATACATTTATTGTTGATTTGGATCCGTACATGAGATTTGTTGACAATAAGAACAACCTAACCTAACACACCTACAGACTTTAAATAAAGCTTTTAACATACAGTACATCCTTAATGCTGGATTGTTGCATATGGACATCATCCTGCAGCCTTGTTTACATCACACAAAGACTCCATAGTGGTGATCTTGGCACATGTCATCATGAACATGCTGCATCACAGCAGGACACAGCTAACAGGTCAAATGTCCCCCCCCCCCCCTCTCTAGCCTGTGACCAGCTCTCTCTGGGGGTGGCGGCCATCTTCGGGCCCTCTCACAGCTCCTCAGCCAACGCGGTCCAGTCCATTTGCAACGCCCTGGGGGTGCCACACATCCAGACCAAGTGGAAGCACCAAGTGTCGGACAACAGAGATTCGTTCTACGTCAGCCTCTTCCCAGACTTCTCCTCCCTCAGCCGGGCCATCCTGGACCTGGTCCACTTCTTCAAGTGGAAGACGGTCACTGTGGTTTATGATGACAGCACTGGTAAGAGCACATCACTTCCTACTGGTTCATTTAATCTGTTCTCTTCTGACTGGTCCAGCAGAGACCAGGATGTTGTTAACTTATTTATTCAAACTTCTACGTCTGTGGACTTCAGTTTGAAGACATCAAACTGTATCCTTTTTTTTTTTTAACTGTTGATATAATAGTTCAATACAATTTCTATTTGTTCCTGTAACGACCTGAGCCAAATATTTTCAAGCCAACATTTTCACCAAACTGACTCATGACATATGCATTGCATGTAACTGTAAATAGAGAAAATACAGAATTATAGCAATAAACATATTTTCAGAAACTGAAATTAGATAATGTAGATAACTTTGTGTTTGATAAAAATCATTTTACACAAAAGAAACAAAATAAATCCATCGATGAATATATTATAAACCCATTTTATGCTTAGCGAAAAGTAAATCCTTAATAATCTTGATTTGTATCCCATATTTGAAAGTATTAGGTGTGTGTGTCCACAATCAATAATGCAACTATTTAAAGGAAATGAAGAAACCCAGACATTGTGACCGTGATGAAGGTCATGTGAATGACATTTGTCCACATATTGCCTTTTTATGGTGAAATAACTGCAGTATCACATTTGCTGAATTGGAGGGCAATCCACTCATCAGTTGTTAAGACATCTGATTTAAAATCTTGAATGTCAACATCAGCTAGGTTCATGAGGAAAGTCCAGGATCCCCAAAGTCAGGCTCTCCCTCTGGGCACTGCTGTACCTATTCATCCGTCCGTCTTGACCAATAGTGTGTGTGTCTTTCTCTGCCCTGCAGGTCTTGTACGAGCTTTAGGGAGGAATTGATTGTTGCTGACCCCCGCACCTCTGTTAATTAAGTTGTAAAGTGGACATAGCTGGTTCACTATGGGGTTAATAGTGGCTTGATTTTCTGTCTTGGTGATAGGAAATGAGATCCTTGCTCGAGCTGCAAACAGCTTTACCTTCTCATTGTCGCCATTTACACAGATGACCTGATAGCGAGGACAGATAGCATTGATGGCGCAGCGTCTGATCTGAATGGAGTTCTTGAAGAGGTTCAGCCAGGATTCTATTTCATTTGAATCTTTTCTTCTCTTGTTGCAGCACAAGAGGCCCATTACCTGATGTACTGAGCAAAGTCAATGCAGCAGAACATTTGTATTATCATACCATTCTCATGTGTTCTCCCCTGACCCCCCACCCGCTGTTTTAAATCGTGTCTGCTTTTCGGGGAATGGGATATAAAGGAGGTAGGAAACAACCTCTCTCTTTGTGCTGTTTCTCCACCAAGCGGGAAACAAACAAGCAAATCAATAACCATAATGGGACTCCTCTAACGGCTCAACTTTATAATGGCAAAACTGAGATGGCAGCAGCATGTGTTATAGCTCTGCCAGCCAGCCATAACATCCATACAACTACCTGCAACACTGCTGCCGCTGATACACAGTTTGATTAGGCCATCAGGGAGAACAGGCCACCATACAATAAACACTGGCTGGGAAACAACTGCTTTTTTATGATGTTCACAGTATGGCGTCCATACATACCTCTATCTTAGTGACCAAACAATCCAGTGGAGGAACGCAGCTTCTCGAGAGAACGTCTACAGACACACCTCTGCCCAATTTGAATAAAACTGATAAAGTAATAGAAAATATATTTAACCTGATAACTGAATAAATTAAGAAGGACATTCCGGTTAATCCCCGAAATGTTTGGTGGTCAGGATTCTGTGCAGGAAAATGACACAGTAAATAGTCAAAAGAAAACATCTAAAAACATTGAATGCTGTGTTTTCAACTGTGTCAGTGACTGATCCCAGTCCCTGTAGTCAACATATTGCAAATTCTTGGACAAGATACTTAACCTCCAGTTGCTCCCGAGGGCGTGGCCAATGGTGTGTGAATGTTAGATTGAACGAGTGGCAATGTTTTGCAAGAATGAGGTGTGAATGGGTAAATGATGACTTGTTATGTGAACAAACATTGTTTTTCTTGGTTTGAACCCTTAGCGCTTTATCCAGTCTTATACAACTCCTCAAAGAGCTATATAAATGTAGCATTCCCTTCATTGGTGTTAAGGGTCCAAACCAAGAAAAACAAACAATATTTGTTCACATACTTTTGTCTATATAGTGTATGTTTCCCCTCATTAAAGGTTATATTTAAAAGGTCTGGTCTTAAAGATTACCATTACCATTATAGTTTGACTTAATAGTTTCTGTTATGACTCCTTTGGTTCCTTCTTCTTCTTGTTTGTCTTCAAATACACTACACTTCAATTTCAATATCTTAAGTTGAAAGACAGAAAACGAACGTGGTAAAATGTTGCTATTTCTAAAGCCTTACTTGTAGTTTAACTGACCCCATGGGTTTGCTCGTCGATGATTCAAATAGAATCTGAAACTCTTTCTACTTTTCTTGTATGATGCATATGTCTTTTACAGTATAACATATAAAGCGTTGGAAAGTGTTGAAAAGTAATAAATTAAGGGACGATACTATTCTCTTTTGGCGCCCATGTGAAATATGTTTGATTTATGTCCACACAAAGGGTTCGTACTTTCCACAATTTTCCAGAAAATATATTTAACACGAGACATTGAGGGGATGCAGTACAGTGCAAGAATAAAAAAGGAAAATCCCTAAAGCCGTAGATTAGATTTGAATATCTTTTAAAGAGATTGTTTTGTCATTTTGCATATTCCCGAGATACTTTGTACATGTTCATATAAGAACATTTTAATAAAACTTTTTTTACTTCTTAAGAAATACTAGTCTTTGTATTATGTGACAAGTAAAGCTTCTATTAACGGGACAAAATATGACCTGCATTAACAATTACCTTTTACTTGTAATAACTGTAACTGCCAGGTTATCATTGACTGTGGAGCATACATCTAATGTCACACTAACATTATTTTGGAAAGCAAAAAAAATCCATGTTATATTAATTTATTTACCTCAGAAAATAGTTAATTTCATCAAATATTTCAACAACTAATTTGCATATTCATAGATATTGTGTTATAATCAATTACCATCAAATGTATCTATGGTTCTATGGTTAGATCCTGGGAATGGTCAATATGTTATTCTTCTGTCCACCAAAATCTATGCAAGTTATGAACATTTATTTTCTCTATTCTATGAAACACATTGAAGTCTAATAAGGGTCATACTTGTTGTGTGTCAAGGATAGAATGGATGGAAGGCAGTTGGCCCCAAACACAGTATAAAAAAGGGCGAGCTTGAATCAAAAGCTGGACAAAACAGGTAAACACCAAACTGAGGGAGCAGGCAAGTTAATACAAAACAAAGGAACAGCAGCAAAATCTGAACAAGGATCAAATTGGGCAGCAAATAAGCCGAGACAGAGAAGGAAATATTGACGGCAGAACCACAACAGGGACCGGTGCAGGAAACATTGCCAACAAACTGACAGAGAGCACAGTAAGACAGGCACACATTCAGACATTATATCAGACACACACACAGCTGGAGAGGGCAGGAGAAACACAGGAACAGCAGCGTGATTACAAACAGGATAGAATCAGGGTGGGGCAGACGATCACAGAAAGGCGGGAAAACACAAACAGGAAGTGAAACTAGATCTAATTGAGTCATCTGCAATATTCATTTAAACAGAATTAATTGTGAATTGTTGAAATCAAAGAGTTACAACATTTGAAAATACTGAAGTTCATTGATGGTTATTTGTAAGTTACTATTAAAATAATGGTGGAATGTAAGTAGCCGGCATTTACTCAAGTACAAGTCAAATGTTGCACACCTTTACTCTACTTGAACATTACAAGCATAAAGGTGAACTACAGTGGCTACCAGGTTCTGTAAAGATGAGAAAGGCCCGCTCCAGAGCCAATGAAGTTTGTCCGTTCTGAGCTACTGTAGAAACATGGTGGTGCAACATGACAGACTCTGTTCAACATCACCAGCTCCATATGTAGATATGAAGGGCTAATTTTAAGCTGCTAAAAACTATTCTGATAATCAGGTTATCATAAACTACTGAAAACAAAGTTATGAATATTCAATTCCACTAGTAAACAAGACAGAATACAAACAAATACTTTCCATACATTTTTTTCTTTATATATTTGAAACATTTTTCAGGTTTTCTGTTTCAATTTCTGAAATATGTACCTGTCCTGAAAATATATACTTACAGAACTTACAGAATTCAGATTCCATATCCTATCTCTTTCTGGATGGGCTGGTTGAAATAAGGATGACTGCATAATGTAATTCCAGTGGTCGTATAAGAGAGGCAGGTAAATGATTTAGAGCCATATCTGACAGGAGGAGATGGTATTTAGAGGGGGGGCATGTTTGATCTTTGTAAATCCTGGTGGGGTGTTAATGGAAAATGAAGGCAGTAACAGGGAAAGTAGTCAGAACAGCAGTGGCAAAGTTTCAGCGGTTACAAGGGGAAGAGCTCTGTTTGAATCCACAAGGTCAAAATCTAGTAAACAGATCATCTTAACACAGCTCAAATGAACAAGACAGTCGAAACAGCATTGATGTTACAATGAGAAAGCCTTAGAGTCAAATGTGTAGGTATGATGTCACAATGTTTGTTTCCTAAGAAAAAAGATCTGTGGATTGGACAGGTTTTCTGAATTTATCAGGACAAATGACTAAATTGAAAGATTTTCATTGACACTTTTTTTCATCAAACAATCATAGAATGAAGTGGATCCAATTTGGACTGCGAACCATAATGTTACGTTATCGTGAATTGAGCAAGGCCTTTTTGGGGGGGGTTTGCATTGTAAAAAAACAGCAAATTTAAAAGGAAATGCAAGATAAAATATGTTGAATAAAATATAGGATCACTGTTTGAGAATAACGTGTACTTACAGTGTTAAAGAGAGTATATTTATATATATATGTAGTACTACTGAGAGCCCTGTCAGAGTACTTCACAGTGAGTCCCAGGACCCCTCCAGTAATCTCTTTCAATTTAA